GCTTCACAGTATTCCACAAGGGGGCGCCCTCTGGTAAGGGGGGAAAATCCAACATTAGAAATTATGTTTGGTCCAGACATTTCCCCCCTATAAATAAATACCCAGGTATCTCCGGGTTATCGGCTAGTGTAAAATAAACAAGCCACTGCCCCCACTCCAAAGGCTAAAAATGTTGGGTTTGATTACACCAATAACTTTCTACAGCGGCATTAGTGATTCTCTGAGAATAATCATGATAAAACTGAGGATCCAAAGAAAGACGGATGGTGAAATGTAAACTTTATTGAGTAATTTAGTACAGTTCTGATGCATCAGGATGCCTGGATGAGCTCTTCTCTTCCATGGTTTCAGGCAGACAACTAAAAACAAATTATGAGTAAGCTGCTGGATAGCGATGATCAGGTGCTTTCAGAATTGTTCAACATAATTTGTGCATGATTTAGATGTTCCCCACTCTGAATTGTTGCCTGTTTGACCATTTTTCACACTTTGCAGCATCCCCATGGTCACGTGATTTACATTCAGATGCTTGGCAACTGACTCACATTTATCACTGGTGCAGGGTCCTGGGGTCATGTGATCTCCTTCTGACAAGCAAGGTCAATGGGGAAACCACATTCACTTAACAACTGTGTTACAAATTTAACAACTGCAATTATTCACTTAACAAATATGGCAAGGAAAGTCGTATAAAACAGAGTAAAACTCACTTAACACATTTCTCAGTTTGCAACAGAAATTTTGGACTCAATTGTGATTGCGCATTGAGGACTATCTGTACATAAATGCCGGCATGCTCAAAATGTGAAAGGTAGAACAGGTAGAATCTTAAGTGCTTTTAAACTGGCAAATGCAGCATCTTATTATTTTCCACTTCTTCTTAGTTCCTCTACCAAGGTGGATATCATGGGGGTACACAAACGCACGCACACTTTAGGGCAGTGGCTTACCTCACAATATCATATCTTGGTGGTTCAGACATGTTTACTGCTGTTTTTCTCTCTACTCTCCCAACACGCACCTTGACCAGACATGGGAAGCTTTGAAGAAAAAGAGAAGCAGCAGAGTGTCTCCCATGGTGAAGCGGCCGTCATCCGTGCTCCCCGCATTGCCAGTTTCCCTCGTCCGCAGGTCACGTGGTTCCGCGATGGGCGCAAAATCCCTCCCAGCAGTCGCATGTGAGTAATGAACAAAAAAAAAAAAACCACATTCTACAGTATGAAAAATATTGAGGTAAAAGATATTTCACAGGATGGCTGGATACCGCTCGCTTTTCTTTGGAGTAGAATATTTCAAGGTGGTTAGCCAATATTGGTAATAGCCCTAGACAACATGGAGGCCTCTACACTTGAAAGACAGGAGAAGTGGTCCTGCAACAATAGCAATAGCACTTAGACTTATATACCACTTTACAGTGCTTTACAGACCTCTCTAAGCAATTTACAGAGATAGCATATTGCCCCCAACAATCTGAGTCTTCATTTTACCCACCTTGGAAGGATGGAAGGCTGAGTCAACCTTGAGCCTGATGAGATTTGAACTGCCAACTTGCAGGCAGCTGGCAGTCAGCAGAAGTAGCCTGCAGTACTGCACTCTTATCACTGTGTCACCACGGCTCAAATGCCACCTTTGGCAATTTTTAGAACTCCTTATACCTGATCTCACTTACCTTTCCACCTGGGAATGTTGCCTTTCATCCCTTGCTAACCTACCCACCGGTTCCATTTGGGTGGCTTGGCTGAAACAGCCATAGCTTTCTATTTTCTTTAAATATACCACCAGACATTATTGTTCCAGATGATGACAAGTGATGATTCTTATATTCATGCCCCAATGAGTGGGACTTTGACATGGAAGGTGACTACAGGTAGTCCTTGACTTACAACAGTTCATTTAGTGACTGTTCAAAGTTCAAACGGCACTGAAAAAAGTGACTTATCACTATTTTTCACACTTGCGACCGCTGAATCATCCCTGTGGCCCCATGATCAAAATTCATACTCTTGGCAAACGACTCATATTTATGACAGTTGCAGTGTTCCGGATGTCATGTATCCCCTTTTGGGAACTTCGGACAACAAAAGTCAATGGAGAAATCAGATTTACTGAACATCCGGGTTACTAATTTAACAACTGCAGGGACTCCCTTAACAACTGTGGCGAGAAAAGTCATAACATGGGGCAAAACTCATTTAACGTATGTTTCACTTAGCAACCTAAATTTTGGGCTCAATCATGGTTGTAAGTAGAGGACTGCCTGTATTTATATTGTTAATGGAAACAGTTTGTATCACCATTAGTATGTAAATGAACTCTACCCCCATTCTCCAAAGTCAATAAAAAAAGGAGAACAAAGTAGTGAATGTGGGCAAAAAAGAATAAATACTAAAGGTGTAATAACTTACTCATATATTGCATTTTAAACTCAGTGTTTCCCGCTCGGTATCCTTGCTCTCTTGGCAAGCACCAGAGTGTCTTTCTCACCTCCTCCTCATTAGGTTGCTCTACCCAGCTGTTGTGTTTCTTCCAAGAACCCTGATGGTTATTGAAGGGACTTAATACTCTCACATCCAGAAACATCTATAGGGGGTCTAGAACCCGATGCTGAAATCTTGGTAGATGAAACATGAGGTGAGGGTGTGTGAGCAGTCTGATTATAGTTAGAAATACGATTTGGCTGGTAAACTAATCAAAGGGGGGGGAAATACGATCTGGCAACATGTGCAGCAAATCAGACTATTGTAGACCAAGATGAAGTCCTCTAGTCACGAGATACATTTCTAAACGAGACCCAGAACATGGCCATTAAAAAAAGTAACCTTCATCCCCAATGGAAAGTCATGAGGCAGACCCATTAGCTGCCCTGTTTATCTGATGGCATCCTTGTCACGTCTAGTTTTAATGGAGAAAATGTGAGGGAAAGCAGCCGAATGTGCTCTTGTTAAACTAACATTAAAGATGTTTAACAGATGTCTTAGGCTCATCATTAAAATCTGGAGATAGACTTGATAAACTAATGGCTTTGTTTATCATGGAGAAAATGAATTTAAGCAAGAGAGCGGGGAGGGCGGGGAGAGTTGTAAGGAGGGGCATCTGCTCCTTCGTACAAGCTGTAATGTTTGATTCAGGAAAGAAGGGGAGAGATTGCCAAGGCCCTCAACCTAGACATAAACATTCATAGTGAGATGCAGCAATACCCTAGCACCATGATGCCGAATCTATGGCAAGTGTGTACGCACGAGTTATTGCCCCAGCTCAGTTCCACCGTGCATGTGTGTGCACCTCCCTCCCGTCAGCTGGTTTTGGGGTGTCTGCTGCACATGCGCAGGTGGTGGGGTGTGCGCAGGGAGGTCACGCAGGCATGCACAAGGGTCACATGCTCATGTGTTGTGGCGCATGCAGGAGGTTGCGCATGCATGCAGGGCATGGCAGATGCAGGGGGTCACACGTGCATGGACGGGGCACACAGGGGGCATCATGCGCGCATTGCATTATGGGTTTGTGTGTGCATGCTTTCAGCACGCGGCGACGAAGGTTAGCCATCACTGCCCTAGCAGCAACAATATTTTTTTAAGAGGGGAAGTTTTCCTAGCAGCTACCTATCTTTTTATATGCTCGCAGACATTACTCACGTAAAGGGTATGAAGGAAAAGGGTATGGAAGCCAGTAACACTAATCCACATATAAGGAAAATATGACATTGAGAAAATTGTACATTCGTTTACTGTATTCATTTCACAAAATGTGAATAATTATGCATCTTGGACAGATAGAGAATAGAACTTTGTTCTTATGAGCAGCATCTCTCCATACTTGTTCCATGGAATCCTTCACAGACTTCAATCAATCAATCAATCAATCAATTACTCAGAATAGAGCTGGAAGGGATCTTGAAGGTCCAACCTTCTAGTCCAGTGTTTCTCAACCTTGACAACTTGAAGATGTCCTGACTTCAACTCCCAGAATTCACCAGCCAGCATTCGCTCGCTGGGGAATTCTGGGAGTTGAAGTCCGGACATCTTCAAGTTGCCAAGGTTGAGAAACACTGTTCTAGTCCAACCACCTGCTCAAACAAGAGATCCGATACCATTTCAGGCAAGTGGCTCTGCAGTCTCTTCTTAAAAGCCTCCAGTGATGAAGCACCCACAATGTCTAAAGGCAAGCCGTTCCACTGGTTAATTATTCTCGCTGTTAGGAAGCCTCTCCTTAATTTCAGGTTGTATCTCTCCTTGATTAGTTTCCATCCATGGTTTCTTGTCTTGCCTTCTGGTGCTTTGGAAAATAAGCTGACCCCCTCTTCTTTGTGGCAGCCCCTCAAATACTGGAACACTGCTCTCATGTCACCCCTAGTTCTTCTTTTCTCTAGACTAAGCCCTGCAACCGTTCTTCATATGCTTATCCATTGGCCCCTGAGATTGCTCAGTTCTCTCACATAGGCTATTCCTAGCAGTGTATAAGTGTATTATACCCATTTCCAGTGGGTTACTTTCTCCGAGGAGTTTCTTAGAATGCTCATTAGAGCAGCCAGTATGAACGTGGACCCTACTTCACTGTAGTGAAAGGAGTGCTGAGTTGCCTAGCACAGAGCAACTAGTGTGAATGGAATGTAGAAAAGAACTATATAAAATTGCCTCCATAAGCTATGAGAATGCCTCATTAAGACATTCTCAAGGCAAAACATCAGAAAGATTGCTGTTGTAATTCTGGACTAATTTGTTTATAAGCTATGTCTCCCAAACACAATAAAAGCTGATTCATTTTTAAAATGTTGCTGATGGAAACGTGCTTCTTTCTTTGTGGCTGTGGAATCGTTCACCAAAATAGCAGCTCTGCAATTAACACTTTGACTCCGTCTTCACCTACCTTGATATCCTGTTTTGTGTGATCTACCCAACTATCTTTCAGGAGCCAAAGTGAAAGCTCCAATTACAGATATATGCAAAAATGTTTCTTTGTAATCTCTACTAGTCAGGAAAATACATCTTTGCTCTATCTCTGGTGCATGTGTAATGGGAGAATGATCCTGAGTTTCCCCCACATAGTAGAAATAGTACTTTTATTACTATTGGTAGTGGTTTCAAGACATTGAAGAAATGAAGAATATAGAATAACTTACAATTAATGACATATTTCTCCAGGGGTATGAGAATTCCAAGAGGCAATTCAGTGAGTGTTATTGGGTGGTTCTGAATGTGTGAACACTTAGATCGTGGTTATCACAGTCTTGGAAGAGTGCAATGTATTGTTTCCCACCCAAAATTACTTCCTAACGAGAAGTAGAAACAAGAAATATGTGATCAGATCTTCTCAACATTGCCAACTGAGTGTGTCTGAATAAGCAATTTGTATCTAGTGAATTTAGAACTTTGCATACATTACTTGGTTCATAGAGAGCTCTCAATTACTTGAGAGCGATATACAGTATATAGACAGATAAATGACCACATCCTATATTCCACAGCTTATTTTTATGAAGGCACAATGCTCAGCATATTTACTTCCATATAGTTTCAAAACAATATACAAGCAGAGTTCTTAATTAGCTGGACTCCCTTAATATTTCCCCACTGGGATTCATCTGACTCCCACCCTGACTGCATTAAAAAAAAAAAACCATGAAAACATGGCTTTTCCCAAAAGGCCTTAGTTTAGAGAGAGCGATGGATATTTTAAAATTTAGATTGGTTGTTTTCTTCCAAACATTTTGAGGTTTTTAATTTGTATTTTATTATTGCTTTTACTGTATGCCACCCAGAGTCTGTTAGAGTTGGATAGCATTATGAATGCAAATATATCAATACATTTCTGAAAAAATAAATTAGCTTTAGTGTTGTGATCCCCTGCCACAGCTTTTCCCACAATTAGCAACATCCAGATTTTGGATTTCATGATGAAAGGGAGATCCGAACAAGCACTTTCTTAAATCTATTTTGAAGATACTGTTGCATTAGCACACATAATTATTATTTTGCTTGCCATCATTAATCTTTTATGTAGTTTTGTTGCATTTGTCGTTTGCATGATTTTTTTTTTACTATTATCGTAATCCCATGTTTGTAAGCCGTTTAAAAGACTCTATTTGGAAACAATAGATTAAACCATAAGTTCACATGATAAAGTTACAACTGATTTAATTCTCTGGCATTAATTCATTGTTTGCTTACTCTTGTCAGAATCATCACCATTAAAATAAGTCTTACTATATGACATAAAAATTAAAATATAAAATACAAAATGAAAATATGTACAAAGTAAAGAGACCTTGCCCAGAAACTAGCAAATTGTATCCTATTGCACTGGCATGAGGTCCTCGTGTGTAGGTGTAAACATTCATTCATTTATAATAATGGACCCTCAAAACTAGTTCATATTACTTACTAATGTATTTAAATGTGGCATAGTATGGTCACTGCAAATACTTTATTGTTTGCTCATAATTTCCATCCTCTTTTCTTACTGCCTTGTAACTTTGTGTTTAAATAATACACTAGCATTTATTGTTAATAGTAGTAAACAGTAGTAATAACAGGAAAAGCAGATAAGATTTTGCAATAGCTCAGAACAAGAAGGGATGCGCTGGCTCAGTGCTAAGATGCTGAACTTGTTGATCTGAAAAGTCGGTGGTTCGATCCCTGGCGCCACATAACAGAGTGAGCTCCTGTTACTTGTCCCAGCTTCTGCCAATCCAACAGTTCGAAAGCATGTAAAAATGCAAGTAGATAAATAGGAACCACTTTGGTGGGAAGGTAACAGCATTCTGTGCACCTTCGGCTTTGGTCATGCCGGCCACATAACCACGGAGACGCCTTCAGATCAACAAGTTCAGCATCTTAGCACTGAGCCAGCGCATCCCTTCTTGTTCTGAGCTATTGCAAAATCTTATCTGCTTTTCCTGTTATTACTACTGTTTACTACTATTAACAATAAATGCTAGTGTATTATTTAAACACAAAG